TATCTCGAGATTGGTCGTCACTGTCTAATCTCATGTGCGTTGCGAGCTGCAAGCAACCCGCCCCCTCACCCCTGTCCCTACCTAAGGCGCGGCCAGCTAGTTCCGCGCGCACTATAGCTCAAAAGTGACGTTTTCAAATATAAATTTATTTTACCTATGGAATAAATGATTTTTTGACTTTGATGCAGTTTTCATCATCTACACCCGGCTAATCTGGAAGCCTTACCTGAGAGATTAAGCAGCGCCCCCCAGTATTTGCTCTGCGTGTGGAAAGCCTCGAGCTGCTGCAGCGTGTTGGCATCCAGGTCTTTGCGCAGCGTGCGGCGCCCGCCGGACTTGTCCGAGATGAGAGCTTCCAGCTGGGTTCGGATCATGTACAGCTGCGTAGATGACGGACCTGGAAAATGTTTGACATTTGCTTTTAAACCAGTATACGAGAGGGTTTATTGAAATCTTCAAAAATTTATCCCCTACATTGCACCAGGTTGGTAGACTCCATAGTCTACCATGGTTCATACCAAATCATCATCTTAGATCACTAGAGTACTAAAAAAACCGACACTCAAAAGTGCGTGGAATTACATCTATTTGCCAAGTTTTATTGCAATCGGTCACCGGTGAGTGCGCGAAACCGGATTCATCCCCTAATTTGCCACCCTTAGAGGTGGTAGATTTTCTTCAAATTTAAATGGAACCAATTCTGAGGTACCCCCTTCCCAGTCGTGGTCCCATTTAAATTTGAAGAAAATATTCCACCCCCAAGGGTGGCAAACTAGGGGATGAATGACTTTTTAGGTCGGTTTTTTTTGTACTGTGTACAGAGATTATTATTAAATAAAATAAAATTATTTTTTTTATAATTATTAATTCAAAGACACTTATAGTCCATTTGTTTAGGTACTTAACTAAATGTAAACAATCTTGATACATCTTTTTATTGAAACATATACTTTACAAATCAATAGGTATAAAAATAGGCATGCAATTTCATATGAAGCTAAGTATTTGTATTTTGTATTTGACGGTAAGGAAAAATCATTTTATAAATGTGTATTTCATTAAATAGACATTTCAAGATTGTTTACATTTAATTAAGTACCTAAACGGATGGACTATAGAAAAAAATTCTTCGATTCGGCTGGATTCGAACCGACGTCTTCTAGCAAACCGTGTCAGACGCTATGCCAACTAAACCACGGAACGAACCAGCGGATCTCATCGGAATTTTTCCATGTCCTTGTTGTTGTTATATTAGGTTTTCAACGAATTCTTAACGGTAGCGCCATCTATGAGAAATCTACGAAAGTATTTCGTCACCCGTTAGGTAACTTTACAGCTACCAGCCCTGGTGTCGCTATTAACTTAAATTAAATTTGTGTACCTCACATGCATTTTCGAGTGTCAGTTCGCAGAAAATGTTTGCACCGTAGCCATTATAGCCAGTTCGAGGTTGTTGTTAATATTTTAGAAATAGCCCTGTACATGTATTTGATAATCAAAGTGAGCGAACCCACCGACGTTCCTGCGGGGCACCTTGATGGTGAAACTGGCCTCGCCGTCTTTCTTGCCTCTGAGCACGGGGTCCTGCTGCGGCTCGCAGCCTCGTGCCCAGTCGCCGCACGTCTCACGCACGGACACGATGATACTGGAAGAGGGACAATAATAACGCACACACTCAACATATCCCCGCACTAGGGAAACCCTGTGTCGCGGGTGCCATGGACACACACAGACAACCACAAATTACACCCAAACTCACGAGAGAAATAAATATAGGCCTTTCAAATATTTCTCATATTACAAGGAATTCCCTCATTTGAGGTCAGGTAATAGTAGTGGATGTCAGGAAGATTAGACATGAAAATAACCGTACCTTCTGATCAGGTCCTTCTTATTCTTTATAGCCTTCCTTAACGGCTCCCTCAGCGCCAGCTGCACGAAGTCTTGCAGTTCGGCATAGATGGATCTCCTTGCGGCATCAGCGAAGACCGTTTCCATCCTCGCCATCAGGACTTGCAAGCCCTTGATCATCGCTATCACTTCTATCAGGGCGAATTTCTCTTCAGATGTGTAATTGTAACGGGTTGCCTGGAATTTTGGTATAATTGTAATTTCTAGAACATACACCAGAAAACCTATTGTCTGTATATTTCAGTCAGGAGAAGTCGTCTGCTCGCATCTGAGGTTTGGTCAGGACTGCCCTCGTCGTCCATTGTGAAAAGAAAGAAAGGTCTGTCGTTGTCTTTTGTCCAAAAGAAAGTCGGTCTAATTCCAAAGTCCTGAAAAAAAGTCTAGTAAGTCTGTCTTTGTAGCCTGTCAGTCTGGTCATCCATGGAGACTGGACGCGACAATTATGATGATGTTACGATGTTTTTTTTATAATACTAAGTGACGGGACGAACAAGTCGTGGGCCTGGTGACAAGCGACACGCTTGTCCATAATTGCAGTGCCACTCAGAGCTTTTAAACGCAAATACTTGAATGGCACGGCCAATGCGTCCGTAACCCGGAGACATAAGTTGACAAGTCCCATGTGCCTGTAATTTCACCAGCACCCTTACTATTCCAAGCTACTGTTTGGCGGCAGAAATAGGTAAGGTGGCAGTACTTCCCTGGACGAATTCTTTCACTGGGAGCTCTGCTGCCGCTAAACTGCTAGCTCGTTTTTGTACACCAACGTTTTGTTGTTATCATAATATATATCATTTTCACCTCACTAGCTCGGAAAGGCTTTCTCATTAGAAATCTGCGCGCAAAAGCGTTTTTGCGACACTAGCATGGAAAAGGTTGTTAAGATTCGAACTTGACGATGGACTGTGGTGCACAACTTTTTTTATCGATGAAAAATAACATAATGACACGTTCAACTACGGATTTGTCGTATATTATTTAGGTAATATAAATCCGTTGGTATATTTTATTCTTATTATTGTTGACATTAAATTGACAACGATAACTCATTTCGTTTATTAAAACTGATTTGTTACAGTTCACCTACAGTACAGTTTTCTTTTATTTTCCATTTCCCTCGCTATAGTGAGGTGAAATGTTGTGTGTTTAGCTCGGCAGCAAAGTTGTTTTGCGTCTCGTAGCTTGAAACCCTAGCTACGCTCAGGATTCTGTTTTTGGGGATCCTTCGCTTGCTTCAATACGAGCACTCGAGTCAAACAACAACTTTTGCAGCCTTGCATAACAAATAACCTTACGATGCCTTACATTCTCAAACTCGTATCTTATAAAGAGTGATTATTCAGGAGATGGGAAAAATTACTATTTATTTAAAATTTCTTAGAGTGTTAATTTGGATGCGTTACTTTAAGAATAGGCAAAAGCCAGTGTGTGAATATGAAGGAAATGGATGTGAAATCAGTCTGCAAATTTGTATACCGACTGTGAACTGGCAATCGGCACTATCTCAACTTTGACAACATAACAGAATGAAGAGAAAAATTGTTTGCGTCATTTATATAGCATCCGGTTTATTAAACAAAAATACGTAGTTTATAGATATTTTTATTACACATGTCGACCCCTCCTACGTAAAGTATCGTATGTCGAAATTGCCAAGTTTACAGGGGAGCGTTTTAAAGTTCTGAATTCACTGAAATAGTGATCACCATAGATCATCTAACCGATATCTAGGATTTTATAATACTCTATGTGAGTAATGAGCTTTGCCGAATAAAACTGAGCAATGCTAAAGTCACGTGTTATGTTCGTTTCAGTGAATTCAGAACTTTAAAACGCTTCCCTGTAAACTTGGCAATTTCGACATACGATACTTTACGACGGAGGGGTCGATGTATGTACACTACATATTTTTATTTAATAAGCCAGGTGCTATATAAATGATTGTTCCTCCGTCCTGTAAAGTTGTCAAAATTGAGATAGTACCGGTTACCAGTTCACAGTCGAAAGGTTATTGGTGTCTCACCCTCTCATATTCCTCGGCGTCGGGCGGGCATCTCGGGTTAACGGTGTGGTCAGTCGGGTGCAATAGTTTCCAACTGCAAAGCTCAGTGACGACGGAACACCACGCCGCCAGCAGCTGCAGCCCGCGCAGGCATAGCTCGGTTACGGCCTTGTTCTCTGAATCGGAGCCAGCTTCTTTGAAGGTCGTTGTCACCTATTATGGGAAATGGGAAAAATTTGCACTAATTCGATTGAAAATGGACATGTCGGACATGGATATTTATTTTTCACAATTTTTCAATATGGCTACCATACAAACTTTTTTTGGCGATAGATTCAAATTTCTTCCAATTCGACTGAAAATGACATGGCATCATAATTGCGGGTAAAAATTATGTTACCGCTGTTTTTCGATATAGCCGTAATTTATTTATGTAACTTGCTTTGCTCGGACTGAAAATTAGCACGAAAAGACTTCTAAGATTGTTTAATAATAATTAGTGGTCGGAATATATTTTTGTAATTTTTAAATATGGCCGCCATTAAAGAGCTATTTAAATATTTTTATTTTTTAATCCTAAGCGCCGAGGCCGCAGGCCGAGGTCTGCGTCCGCACGCTTTCGTATGGAGGTAATTATATACGGAGGCGTAATAGATTACAAGTACAAGATCTCACAATTGTAAAAATGTAAGGCATACTTCCCGATGTAGTGGAAATGAGATACTTATTATAGCGTTGTTGTATCTCAACAATATCTGTTAGATTCCCTTTTCTTGAAAGCTATGCCAAAGAAAAGTATTTAGGGGGAAAAAATGCCAAACTACTGCCGAATTTCCTATACAATGAATACCAAAACAACGATAATCCAGAATACTCAGACCAAAACCAACTTAGAAATGTCCGTTTCTTAAATTGGCCCAAATCGGGAATCGACCACCTCACCAAGCGCTCATAGTACTAACTGCTGTACCACCGAAGAGCATGAGCTCACCCCGTAAACTGAACCCGACCACGCGCCGGAGACCGAGCCCGACCCCACCGTAGGTGGGGTATAGGGCTCGTTTTTTATATTAACACAAAAATCATAAAGAATAAAAATTATATATATATATTATATTTTAAATAGATGATTCAGGTTTTTTTTTAAATGTGTTAGCACGCCCTGGACAGCACCTACATCCCCCAATTGGTTCCGAGGCCCCTACTCAGGATTCTTCAGCGCCCACTATGGGTGGGGACCACTTTGGGAAACCATGGTTTACAAAGAAACACTGACTCTACTGTACTGACCTCATTGCTGTAGCGAGCTAGCTCAGATATGTAGTTCTGGTGTTCCTCTCTGATTTGCGGAAGGTGGATCATGAGGTCAGCTTGGGGAGAGGGCGGGGTCACGCTGGAAGACAGCGGCCATCTGCGGACAATGAATAGAACTTAATTTTCTATCCAAATTGCCTTAAGGGTGCGTTCCTATTAAGTCCTGACGACAGATACTTATGCAGTTTAAAGTGTTGTGGCTTGTATATTTAAATGAAGTTGTTCACACTTAGAACAACAAGATTAACAGTCGTTCACGGGTTTTTTGACGTTACGACGACAGATTGTCATGACATTGGGAAGAGCTAGAGCGACTAGTCGTCTGACGTTAAATAGAACGTCACGATAAAATACGAGGAATAAAAATAAACTGGCTGTTCTTGACCTCTTAACTAAGTCACAAATTCATTTGACGTACTTTGTATACTTTCGTTATAAGATTCCGATTGATATTCAAAATTTGTCATATCAGCGATTTAAAACTATAGTGGAACAAATACTTAACACTAATAGTACATTGTGTACACTAACAGGACGGTAAAGGTAACCCTATCACAAACTCGAATTTTTTACCGAAATAACATTTCTTCGAAATTTCATTACATCGAGAAGCGTTATTCTTTCAGGATATGTTGGATGTTTATCGCAAAGACACGATTAGGTTCGGTTAAGTTAGGTTTAAAAGAAAAAACATTTTCCTCTCAAAATTACTTTCGAGGTTATGAGAATTCGAACTAACGTTATTTTTTGGAAAATGTCATTTCAGACTACTGTAAATAACCGACGGTAAATAAGAAATTATCAACGAGGGTCTATTATAATCTTCAATAACACGAGACTTCCATTATTTTTTTGCCGACCATGATACATACAGTGTTTTTCGTCACATTGGCGAGGATATAAATACAATGTTTATTTCTTGTATGAATAAATATGGTTCACAACACAACAAATATATCTTAGGTATTATATTATAAAATATGTATTTATCTAAGTATTTATATAATTTATAACAATTTAATATTTTTATATAATTTTTAATTTTTTTTTCCTTGTTTTGTTGTGCACATATGCCCGTTCTTTTAGTTATAGTATAGTGTCCTGTATTTAGGTCTGCAGGAAGAAATTTCTATTAGAAATAAGCAGAAACTTTTGTTTTTAGTTTCGCTTGTATTCTTTGTGACTTGTTGTATTTTTCCTGTTCAATAAACTATTAAATAAATAAATAAATAAATATGGATTTTGCAAATGGCGTGTTTTTTGTTTTTTTTTTATCAACAGATGGCCAGCTAGCTATTATTCCATACATAATACAATTTGAACTAAAATTTGTAGAAAACAAAGACGCATACAGCCATAATGGATCGTAATTGTAAAAAAATTTGCAAAATTTTTATACAGATAACAATTAAATGTAATATTGTGGTTGAATTGCAATAAAATTTTTGTTTAAATAACATTTTAAGCGAATGTTTTAATTTTGAACTTAAGTAACCTTGCTTGAACTTGAACCTGACGTAGTAAGGAAGTATGTCGTGCTACAAATAAAAATTCTTTACCGATGCCTGTAATAGGAAAAAAAGGCCCGAGAGTTTTATTTGGGACATTACAGTCAAAAGCTGTCATACTATTTGCGAACAATTGTGAGGATAATTATATCATTAACCAAGGAAGCCTCGAAACACACAAATATGAGCCTAGAATACTCACTTGCTAGGATCATAATGCTTTGAACGTTTGATGTAGTTGAAGGGTGCGATTTGCATATCTCCGAAAAGGGGTACCACCTCCAAGTTCTGAAATAAATTTTCATCACAAATAAATACACTAGAAGTGATTAGTTAGCATCGCATGCGTGCCAACACTAGGCTTAATGAGGGTAACTTGGGCTCAGTCAGCCATTTTCGCTTTGTACGGTATGGTTGTGTAAATTATTACGCGCAAAAGATCTAAAACCGTAAAAAAATCGTAACGGATTGTTACGCACTAAAGCGAATGCGAATGCCATTTCATGTTTGACAGCTGTCAGTTGACAAACCTTGAAAATCCTGTCAATGCGGTCGAGGCGCAGCTTTTTCTTCTGATCGAGGCGGTTGATATTGCACACTTCAGAGTCCATAAGGAATAGCCCAAATCCCATAACCTATGAAAAAAGAACCATGTTATTACCTAGTACAACTCAAACCAACCGCATAACTGCCTCCGTGGCCAAACGGTTACCATGACTACCACGCAGAGGTCCCAGGTTTGATTTCCGGGCCGGGAGAAATATTTGTATGGCCTACATTTATTTCTCTCGTGAGTATGGGTGTAATTTGTGGTTGGCTATGTGTGTGTGTCCATGGCACCCGCGTCACAGGGTTTTCCCTAGTGCGGGGCTATGTTGAGTGTGTGCGTTACTATTATTATTGTGCACAAAAAGCGGACGTGTCGTGTCGTGACGCGTCAGAACGGCACCGGTTTCATACATTTAATATGGTTAGGCCCAAGCCAACTGGCCGTCATTAAGAAAGAAAGAAAGAAAAACGTCTATTATTATTTATATACGCACTTAAATCTAATACTTAACACTAAAACAACAAATGGCTGCATGATTTTAAATTAGTAAGTGTGCATAGTGGCGCAAAAGAAGAAAATGATACGACTTAGCAATATGACAGGCGCTGATTTTCAGTCGTTCCTGTTTCAGGATCGGCTGAGACCTAAGGAAATGGTACATGCTCTGTGTATCCTCTGCTTTATGCCACACTACACATTTACAATACACGTGTGATACACGTATACATACAAAGCTACAAGTACATAAATATAAATACGTTAGAAGACAAGACTTAGGAACATCCGGCATCAGAGCATACGCTGGTATGGCATTAGTATGGCACTGATATGGCATTAAGGAAACTATTCTAATAGAATAATATGGTTAGATTTATATTACAAAAATTGAAAGTTACACCAACTTCCTATTTCTAACAAATAGATGGCGTTAATTATAATACTGACCCAATATTAATTCGTTACATTATTGTAGGGGTTATACTACTAGGTAATAAAAGGGCAACACCTAAGGTTGAAACGATGACGCACCTGTGTCGCGGTTGCCAAAGACACGCCCATAGAAGACCTCAAATAACACGTAAACCCACGAGAGAAATAAATGTAGGCCATACAAATATTTTTCCCGGCCCGGGAATCGAACCTCTGCATGTCAGACCAGCTTGGTAACCGTTCGGTCACGGAAACAGTCATTGCATTAATAGTCGATGTTCTTTTCTTTCTTACCTTAACAAGCATGTGCTTCTCCGACGGCGTAAGGTACATTTTGTTCTCATACATATGCACGGATATGTTCACTACATCACATAACAGATCTTCGTAACCTGAAATTTAAATTAAATTTAACTTTACTGGCTTTTAAAATATATATAACATGTAGTAGAACTCTTTATGAAAAAATTCGTCCAAGGAAGTAATGCCAGCTACCTATTTCTGCAGCTAGCCAAGCAGTAATGCGATGCTGAAGCTGTAGGCACATGTATGGCAACTTTACCAGCATTGACCTAAACAAAGGGGACCAATGAGGACCAAAAACAAACGGGAACAATGTGCACCTAAGCGATATGTAGAATTCATTTTTTTAGAATACCTAATGACGGGACGATCAAGTCGTGCGTCTGATGATAAACTAGCCTGTCCATGTGAAACTCAGAGCTTTAAATCATGAAGATCTGGGGGGGCACTGCCACTGCGTCACCCTGAGACATATAGGGCTAGCACGACAGGGCGCGACTTGCGCGAGAGCGACATAAAGCGCGAGATGTCTATGCGAGAACAGCAGTATATCGCGCTTTATGTCACTCTCGCGCAAGTCGTGCCCTAATAAGTCGAAAAGTCCCATGTGCCTGTAATTTCACGAGCACCCGTACCTTTCAAAACCAGAACGCAGTAATGTGGCAAAACTTCCCTGGACGAACTCTTTCTAAAGGAGCTCTAATGCTACTAAGTTTGTCCAAGAAAGTACTGGCAGCTACCTATTTCTGCAGCCAATCAGTAATGCATTGATGAAACTGCAGGCACTTGTGTTACGGCAACTTTACCAGCATGGACCTAAACAAGGGGAACCAATGAGGACCAATAATCTCAGTACAGAGTACTAAAAAAACCGACCTCGAAATTACGTGGAAATACGTCTACTTGCTAAGTTGTATTGAAATATCCCCTAGTTCGCCACTATACAGGACTTGACACTAGAGATATTAAAAAATAGGTTCTCACTACGACACTACTCAAAGTATATTGAGAGAAAAACGCCTTGAATTGGAGAAACAGCAAAATCAACCATTAAAGTAATTGCTCCTAAATTAAAGTTAGGCGCTATTTATAAAAATGAATTTTCATGCGTGAACAGACTCCGTTCGAGGTGGATGATTTTCTTCAAAATGAAATGGGACCACTATGGAACTAACCCCTTTCGAACAAAAAAAGAATCATGAAAATCGGTTCACAAATACCGGAGTTATCGCGTAACATTCATACAAAAAAAAAAGAACATACAGTCGAATTGAGAACCTCCTCCTTCTTTGAAGTCGGTTAAAAAGAAAGTGGAGCAATGTGGACCTAAGCGATACGACGAATTAATTTTTTTATAATACCAAATGACGGGACGAACAAGTGCACTTAGAGGTAAGCGACACGCCTATCTATAAGTTGACAAGTCCTGGCACATGGGACTAACCAGCACCCTTACTCTTCCAAAGTAATGCTGGCATTACTGCTTGGCGGCAGAAATAGGCAAAGTGGCAGTCCTACCCTAGACGTACTCTTTCACAAGGAGCTTATAATTATTAATACAAAGATCGAACACTCGGAAAAAATTCCTTCGATCCGGCCGGATTCGAACCGACATCTTCTAGCAAACCGTGCCAGACGCTATGCCAATTAAACCACGATATGATCTCATCGGAATTTTTCCATGTCCTTGTTGTCGGATCTTTATATTTGGTTTTCAACGAATTCTTAACGGTAGCGCCATCTATGAGAAATCTACGTATAGTGTCTGGCTGTGACGATGTGACCTCCTTACATCCAGTTCCTGGCCACTGGTTTTTAAATTTTGAATTCTTCTTTAATTCCTTTGTCCCGTCATTGTGATTTTATTTCATTCCATTGTCACTCGTTAATTTTTTTAACCGTTTACCAGTTACCAAAAATCTCTTGTGCGATATACATTTTTAAGGTCACAAATATTAATAAAACGGGAATAATATTTATAAAACTGGATTTATTATCGCTATTCCTTTAGCCTTTTGAATTTTAAACATGAAACTTACTAAGCAACATGTGTGGAGGCTGCGGAAGCTACATTACAATCTACAGAACATTCCAAGTGGTACCAGCAGCGGTACACGCTTTTCACAACTAAGCCACAAATCGATGTGCTTGGGTTGTATCTTTGTATTTGGTTTTTCAACGACTTTTTAGTCGTAGCGCCATCTATGCGAAATCTATGATATTTCGTCACCCAGTTAGATACCTTTACAGGTCCCGGCTAGAGACGTCGCTATTATGTAATGGACCTTACCGGTGATCTTCTCCAATGCGTCTTTGACAGTATCACGAATCTTGTTCTGCGTGGCAAGGAACATGGAGAGATTCTGCGACTCCTGCAGGCTCTGACTGTCAGACATTACTTTCAAAAATTGCGCAGCTCTGTGGACAAATGCACGGTGTTCAATGTTTAGTAGACAAAGTAGGGAAGCACTCACAAAGATTAAAGTCAGTCTATCCCCAAAAAGGCCTAAGGGTTGAGGTCAGACGAGCGTAATCTAGTGAGTTATATATACATATACATTATATTGACTATCAAAATGTACAATATACAATGTCCGAATTTTAAAATGATTAATCCCTAAATTCATTGTCTAATTTTGATATTTGTATATTTGTTTTGACGTTATTCATATTATTATTTTGACATCTACTTCCATTTTGCAATTCTTTTTCTTCCTGTCCTTATCCCACTCTAGGTGAGGTCGGCACAACATGTATTTTTCTTCCACTCTCCCCTATCAGCCGTCATTTCCATACTCACACTTTTCTTATCCATGTCATCTTTCACACAATCCATCCATCTTTTCTTTGGCCTTCCTTTCCCCTTATATCCCTCCAAATTCATACCTAGCACTCTTCTCGTCACATGACATACTTCCCTCCGCATGACATGTCCATACCACGCTAACCTATTACTCCTCATCTTTTCCGTCACTGGCGCCACTTTCAAACTTCCCCTGATGTTCTCGTTCATACTAATTACATTTTGCAAATATTATCATTAAAATTGAACCATAGAATGTGTCGATTTGCCTTCTCGCCATATTTACAGAAGTAATTTTAAAATCGAAACTGAACGTAAATCACTAATAAAATATATCGGAAAAAAGTGGCTCAGATTTCTTTTTTTCGAATTTTGTTTTTCGTTTCTATATTTTTTTTTCACCAATGTCGGGGAACATAATATTAGTATACTGTTTACAAAAATAACAGAAACTGATCAAAGAAAAAAAATTGGCGTGATGTTCATTGGACGTATCGAGATGTGGAATTTATTATCTAAATAGAAAACTAGTGAAAGAAAGTGACCTAGCAATCGCTATTGCGTCAGCCATAAACTTACCGCCTATAAGTGGAATAGTCGTTCTTAACAGAGCTCTTCATGTTCTTAAGTTCGTCGAGCACAGCAAACATGTTCACGAACTTGCCCAGAGTGAGGAGATACGCTTCGGACACGAAATCGCGGCGTTTTTCCGCGTGGCATAGACGGCGGACCTCGCCGCAGAAACGCTCGATGGCTTTGCGCTACAGGATGATGCGTACTTTTTAAAAATTAATTACACATAACATAGATTTAAAAGCGACAGATTTCAACCCCCAACACGTCGCAGAAGTTTATAAATCGAACTCTAACGATAATATATCGATGTGGATAGTTAATACAAACGCCAGCATTCCAGGGTCAAACATAGATCTCACACATAACATATAAAAGAAAATGTAAATACAATTATTCAACAATCTTTAAACAATGAATTTGTATAAGGCTTTTGATCATGTTACTCACTAATTATTGTCACAAAAATAGAGTTGTACGATTTCTTGTATTCATGAATATTACTAATACTAGGTTTCACTAAATACTACTAAATGACTAATTTAACTATCACAAACATCACACAATAAATAAAATTTCTAGCGAGAGTACAACAAGGGGCCTATTTGAGCCCTTCCTGCTTTTGTATGTTAAAAGACTAACCCACCTGGAAATACATAAACTGCAGAAGCTTATCCACCTCAGGTGCCAACACCTGGACAGTGCGCTCGTAAATGTGGACTCTATCTGGCTGTTCATTAGACCGGGGCTGTGGGATAGCTCGGCTGCAGCATCGCCAGGTGTATAGCATTACTGCATGTGCATTGCCTTCTTCCAATAATTCATTCTGTGGAAAAAGATTGGGTATTAGTCAATTATGACTTAACGAACAAACTAATTAATTAAAATTTTATTGAATTGATATTCAATTATTTTTTGTGAAATTACTCCACTAGTTTGTTATATAGGGTCTTTCAACAAGAACTTTGTTTTCTAAAACAAAATAAAACAAAAAATTTAGATGAAGATGATTCAAATTTTTATTGTATTACAAAGAGAAAAGTTCGGCAATTATGAATGAAAAATGATATCTGGCAAATGTCCACCACGACCACGCTGATAGAAGTCGATTCTTTCATCAAAATTTTTAATCACTTTTTGGCAAAATGTCGGGTCTATTTCGGCTATCACATCACGGATTTTGAGTTTTAAGGCTGTAGTCGATTCGATTGGCTCCGTATAGACTCTGTCCTTAAGATAGCCCCACAAAAAATAATCCAGTGGTGTTAAATCACACGATCTGGCTGGCCATTTAACAGCTGAATTTCGGGAAATTACGCGATCAGCAAATTTGGTTTGCAATAAATTGATCGTCTCATTGGCTGTGTGACATGTGGCACCGTCTTGATTACAAAAATTTTAATTAAAAGAGCCGAATTAGTTATTTCCGTTCAGCCCTATGCAACCATAGACTTTACAAATCTATATTTGAGAAATCGCCTCACATTTGAACTAACATTTTTCAAATAAGATTTAGTTATTCAAAATGAACTAGAAAAAGTGATGAGATGTCAAGTCGAAATCTTCGAAATATACGTGAAAATGTTACTTATTTAATTTATTGAGAGATTGCTTTATAATTTTGATCAAACCGTTTTGTTTCCTCTTCTGGTATAATAGATTAGAACAGACTTTACGTCATGTACCGCTTAAGTATTTTAATAACCGGCAATTTATCTCACCACAGCACTGGGTCCTTAATAAATTCGTCTTTCGCCCCTGACGTTGGCGAAATCATCGCGCAAAACGACAGAGAGACTAATTATACTACATTTTCTTTGATCTTATAGATAACGAAGAGAAAAAATTTCGCTTTCTCAAGTTTACAATATCTGTTCAGAATTGTTAAAAATTACGATATTTTTTCTTATTTCTTTCTCCCGTTTTTAAGTATTGTATCCAGCCAAATAGCAAAAAAACAGGCCAACTAAACTTAACATCGAAGAGTAAGTGAATATTTGTTGCAACTCTATTTAATTCAAATTGATTTTAAATGCGATCCTTTCTATATTTTTGACAAAACGTTTATAATTGCTTACCAAATTGGCATGAACTGTGGCCTCTTCAATATATTTGGCAATGCCTGTGACGAAACCATTGCGGTCCTCGAAGTTGGTGTCGAAGTTGGCCATGTAGAGGATTGAACAGGGGGCTGCTTCGATACATGGTTGCTCATCTGAACAAAAATAAAATTACACATGGTGAATGAAAAGGAAATGACCTCAGAAGTCTAAGTTATATATTTTATACTTTTTTCATAACAATCTAAGTTGAATCATATTGCAGGAAAAAACAGACAACAAAGCAATATAATTATTAATACAAAGATCGAACACTCAGAAAAAACACTCAGAAAAAATTCCTTCGATCCGGTCTGATTCGAACCGACGTCTTCTTGCATACCGTGCCAGACGCTATACCAACTAAGCCACGGAACGAACCAACGGACCTCACGAATTTTTCTATGTGCTTGCGTCGTGTCTTTGTACTTGGCCTTTCAACGACTTTTTAGTCGTAGCGCCATCTATGAGAAAGGAAGGATAAAATGTTAAACGTGCATTTGGAAAATATTACAGGAGAGCGATTTAATCTTAAAATCTTAATTTTAAATCATCCTTCAAACCCTTACGCTTAGATACTCGTTCAATTGTGATTTAAATATTCGGTTTACTAATCAATTACAAGAACTTTAATTGAATGAACGAAATGTTTTTTTTCGTATAGCGCTACGAACCATACCCAAACCATAGACAAGTCATAGTTGAAAAATAACCTCACTTTTCGACTACCAGTTTTCAAATACGATTTTACGATGCTATTAAAATGAATATTGTTAGAAAAAGTGATGAGATATCAAGTCGAAATCTTCAAAATATTGCTAAATTGTTGCTAACATTATAGTTTTGTTATATATTATATATTTTTATTTTTAAAATTATTATTCACATTGACAAATTAATGTGTTTAGGAAACGTTAAAGAAACTTGAAACACAGGCATGTTGTAAAAAATGAAATTGTTGACTGACCAACACTTGCTCTTAAAATAAAAAGTTTTAAGTACTTTTCCTTTAAACGCCCACTTCTAATTGTTAGCCATTGAATGAAAGAATATGCGAACACTACCATTTCACGGAGACTCAACTGCCATTGTAATTACATTTTAGCAGAATTATAAATATTATCATAATTGCAATATAATCTCAATGGAATTACTATGACCAGAGGTTTCATGAAAACTAGCAGATTTGGACCCCTGGTATTGAACTAGAAATTCACTCCGAAGTAATATGACCAGAAACAATTGGGGAAAAGTTACTTTCTCCTAGTTGGTCCTACCTACTGAAAATCGGACCTGGGATCTCCTCATGTAGCACCTGCAGTGCAACCTCAAAATCAAATATTTCAACGCTGGAAATGTAAAAAAGCTGGAAAGCATTACAGTGATTTAAAGTAATTTTTTTAAGAAAAAAAAAACAATTCTAAAGTCTGTTCCAATCCATTTTGAACAAAAAGTAAACAATATGGTTAAAATTCTAAAGCAATCATTCAATAAATCAAATTAATTATACACTTATATACACACTTTCAGGTATATTTTGAAGATTTCGACTTGATATCTCATCACTTTTTCCAAGAATATTCATTTTAATAGCATCGTAAAATCGTATTTCAAAACTGGTAGTCCAAAAGTGAGGTTATTTTTCAACTATGACTTGTCTATGGTGTGGTTCGTAGCGCGTATACTTCTCTCCATTCCTCTTTGACAGGTTGTGAGTTTCTGATGGTGTTTTCTGGTCAATGCCCACATTTGGCATCCTCTCTAAGAGACAAAAAGAGAGCTTCAGACATACGAAGGACTACTAAATTGAAGGATGTCACCACAAAAAGCAAAGTGGAAGTGGACTGGCCACATGTACAGGGAAAAAACAGAAAAGTGGACCAGAAAGGTAACAGAATGGGTACCAAGAGGAAAAGAGGTTCTCCCTTTAAAAGATGGTCCGACAACTTTAAAAAAATAGCTGGACCTCCATGTACTAGGCTGACAGGGGACATAGCCAGATGGGTAGAGCTGGGGGAGACCTATGCGTCTTCAGGATGCGCTGATGCTGTAGATTAAGTAATTTATGAATATAATTGAATCGTCAGTATAATATAGGTTAATAAAGAAATAAATAATATTAGTAGACTACGTAGCAGCAGAATACCAAAAAATTGCAATAGCAGTTGAATACCGAACATACCAAATCCTGCCATTCACACTATCAATACACAACTGAGATGATTTAATATTAGCAGAAATGGGGGCCAGGTAATCGGTGTTGTTGTCTGGCATCTCATTTATTACCTAGCAATGCGTACCACGCCTTCCATAGGTACTAACTTCAAGATGAATCATTTTATGATTATATAGTTATTGAAACCAACTTACCTGGCAAAGTGAGTTCGTCCAGTACGTCGACATTGCTTAGCGCATCCGAAAGGGACACTTTCTCACTTACAGACATGATTTATTAATTATAAACACAAAAACCGTAGCGTTAAAATACAAACACCGGATGTTCAATATAAAGACTTATAAGCATATTTTTTGTTGCCAAACAGGAATAATATGTAATTAGAGCGTCAGTAATTATTATCTAAATAATGTTTTATTTAATTAAATAACGATAAATGTCGATCTTTTAGATAAATACCGTGCAAGAGAATCAGCCATTTATTTGACACCAAAACACTGATTAGAGTTGCCATTGGCGTACCTTGAATATTTCTTTTTATATAAGACCGGTTTTACAAACGAATTGCGAAAGGTTTCTATAATTCCACTACTATTGAAAAACATCCCTGAATTGTGGAATTACTATAACTTTTATTTGAAGATGATTGCATCGTAAAATCATAAATTAAATTAAATTACTCGCTTCGAATGCATTTATAATTAATCGACTAAATATTCGGTCTTTAATATGATGAAAGGTCAACTCTTGTCGACAACGCCCATGGACACGTTCATAGAAAGAAACAATTAAAAATGCGTTCAATATACTATGTACAATTTTTTTTACAATATTATTTTTTTATTTTCTTTATTATTTGTCTTTAGTAAATAATGCTCAATTATTTGTAGAAAAGCTGCTTCGGGAATATTCTATTTTCTTTACCGTTCCGAGTAGATAAGTAAGCAGTTGAATCTGAATTTTAAGCATCATCAATGCTCTTCCTTGTGTATGGGATTTTAGGAATAAGCCCACAATTTTTCTTCGACGACAACAACATATCGCACATGACATTTTCAACACAGCCTGTGGGGTGCTCGTAAGGAGCCTGACACAAGGTAGTTGAGCACTTTATTCGGTGATTATCATTATAAGCTGTCAATTGACTTACGCAATAGGCCTGCTGTACATCAGCCGAACCGTGGGCAACTTTCGGCGAGTACTTTACGCTGATTGGCAAAATCTTTACACCACAATGTCAAGTATTATAGCATAGTATAATAAGAAAATGTATGGTAACTCCGTACAAACGTTGCAGCGCGGCTTGTACGTGTGCGCCATGTACAAACTCAAACATTTGCTTAATTTAAGGATGTACTAGCGTTGTATCGGTTGCATAATGGTGGATTTACAAGGCACAAATTCTAGCAATATATTGCCGCAATTTATGGCGTAGCGCGGTATAACCTTGAGTTGACCAATCAGGAGCAAAACATTTTAAAGGTCGTCTTGGTCAACCCAAGGTCATATTGCCAGAATTTATTCATTGTGAATCCACGTAACACTGGTCGTCCCAACGCGCTGCTCTGTTCATTATTATACGAATGTGTGCGTCCGTACAAGCTGTGATGTTATTTTGTGAGGAGTTACCCTACTTCCGGGCGGCGTCGTGGTGAATGTTCACCGATCCCACGGCGTCGACTCAACCGGCGAGAGGGAAACCCGGGGGGGTTTTAGTGGGGTAGGCCTTCCAGTTTGGAGGGAAAGTCCCCACATAACCCCTGAGTCTCCCTGGGCTCAGGGGTATCCATAAAGATTTCCTTAAGTAAAGTAAGTAAGGTAGGTAAAGTAACAGTGTTTAGAGCAGGTACATAATATGTATGTACCTACTGCCCTATACCGTGCAGTTTATGGAGGTATTATAGGTACACAACGAACCCATTGGGCCCTTATATACGGGGTGCTAACAGGGCTGCCCATTCTGTAAGGGCACATTCCCACTATGTCGTGACGACAGATTGTCGTGCAGTTTACAGTGTCGTGGCTTGTATATTTAGGGCGCGTTCCCACTATGTCGTGACGACAGATTGTCGTGTAGTTTAGAATGTCGTGGCTTGTATATTTAAATGAAGTAGTTCACATATAGCACGACACGATTAACTGTCGTTCACGATTTTTTATCGTTGCAACGACAAACTGTCGTCACAGTAGGATCAGCTAGAACGACAGTCGTCGGACGATAAAAATTTGACGACAGACTGTCGCAGCTCCTATTGTCATCACGTTTTATTTTAAGCTGTCCGCACGTATTCTGCTCCCTGCCCTCCCCTCTCGTACCCCGCGCCCTCTGCTCGCTTTGCAGTAACGTTGGGTCATAGCTAGAGATGCCCGGGCAAGCGCCCGGGTTCTAACCCGGCGCCTTGTTACCGCCGGCGTTAAATCGGGTTAAAACTTTTTTTTTTTTTTTTTTTTTGGCGGGGGGGAAATCTTTATGGATACCCCTGAGCCCAGGGAGACTCAGGGGTTATGTGGGGACTCTCCCTCCACACAGGAAGGCCTACCCCACTAAAACCCCCCCGGGTTTCCCTCTCGCCGGTTGAGTCGGCGCCGTGGGATCAGTGAACATTCACCACGACGCCGCCCGGCCGCCCTAGCTTACGCCAGGGCTCCCGCGCCAACGGAGGGGCGAGTCGGTTGTCCTCCGACCCGCCCCCCAGACGAGTGAGGCCGTGCAATGCAGGCTCCGGAGTCCCTGTCCAGAGCCCGCTGGTCTCACTAGGGGATCAGGCGAGCAGCGAACTGTCTTCGCCTTCTCCCCGTACGTCTGCGCCGGAGCGGGTGCGCGTCCGCCGCGTCCTCGCGCACCCGCTCCGCGGCCTCCTTTTGCGACATAACCTCTGCGCAAAAGGAGGCCACCGCCTCCCAGGACTCCTCGCTATCGAGCATAGCGGCAACCACGCTCGGCAGCGAGAGGTCCTGCCCTACAGTCCCCGTCAGAGTGCGGCGCTGCTCATCCCACCGGCTACACACCTCTAGGGTGTGCTGCGCGGTGTCATCCGCAGCGCCGCACTCGTGGCACGACGGGGACGGTTCCCTCCTCGCCACCTTGTGCAGGTAGTGACCGAAGCAGCCGTGCCCGGTCAGCACCTGCACAAGGTGGTACGACAGTGGCCCGTGGGACCGGTTTACCCACTCTACGAGGACAGGGCGGATCGCCTCTATGGTACGAGCGCCATAGGGGGGATCCGCCAAGCCCTCTTTCCACCGGTCCCGCATGCGCTGCGCCGCGAGGCGGCGCTCCCGCTCCACCTCTTGGGGAGCGGGTCGCTCGCCTCGGTCCCTCATTCCCCGCCGGTAGGTGCGGACCTCCGCCAGGACCTCGGCTTCGAGGTCCCACGGCGGAGTACCGGCGAGGACGCATGCGGCAGCGCAGGCCACCGTCCTGTACGCCCTGCACATTCGCAGGGCGACCACCCTCTGGGGCCTCTTCAGCAGCGCCTTCGTCGCCGCTGATATGGCCCCACTCCAAATGGGAGCCCCGTATAAGGCCATACTCCGAGTCACCCCGGCGTATAGCCTTCTGCATGGGGCTCCCGGCCTCCCGAGGTTGGGCAGGAGCCTGCCCAACGCCGATGCGGCGCCCACTATTCGGGGAGCAAGTTGCCGGAAATGCTCCCCGAAGTTCCATCGCCGGTCCAGGACAAGTCCGAGATATTTCATCTGGGACTTGACCGGGACCGATACTCCCGCGATGGAGATGTGGGCGCCTGCCGGCACCGCCCAACCTCTACCCCTCCCGCCGAAGACGGCCACATCCGTCTTCGGCACGGCGACCTCGAGCCCCAGCAGTTGTATTCGGCGGACCACTATGTCCGTCGCTACTGAGGCTCTTCGGGCCGCCTCCTGGAAGGTGGTCCCCCGGACGGCCACCAGCGTGTCATCGGCGTACGCGATGACCGCCGTCCGGGGGAGCAGCGCGCCCCTCAGCACCCAGTCATACCCCAGGTTCCACAGTAGTGGTCCTAATACGGACCCCTGGGGTACTCCGCACCTCATTGGGCGCTCGGCGCGCCTCCCTTTCCTCGTCTGGTAGAGCACCACCCTGTCTTCCAGGTAGTGCTCCACCAGACGGCTGAGGTACCTGGGGATGTTATGGTACCTCAGCGCCTCCCTGATAACGGCGAAGGGGAGAGTGCCGAAGGCGTTGGCTATGTCCAACGACACAGCCACCACGCCTTCCCCCTCGCCGTTACCCTCCTCCACGATGTGTCGCAGCGACTCCAGGGCGTCCAGAGTGGAGAGTCCAGCCCTGAACCCGTACTGCCGCTGCGATACATCGGGGCCTGTCCCCCTCAGGTGTTCGTTGATCCTGGAGGCGATGATTCGCTCCAGGATCTTGGCCACCTCGTCCAGCAGGACGAGGGGCCTGAACCCCGAGGGGGAGTCCGCAGGTCGGCCCGGCTTGGGCACCAGGACGAGCCTTCCCTCCTTCCAGCATCTCGGGAACAACCCCGTCCTCAAGCAGTCATCCATGAGATGCTTGAGGCGGGTTCCGAGATGCTTCAGGGCAATGCGAAGGACTCGTCCCGGTACCCCGTCCGGGCCGGGAGCCTTCTTCTGCCCCCGCAGCCGTCCCACCGCCCACTCAAACTCCCCCTCGGTGATTTCCGGGGGGGGTTCCTCAGTCTGGCCCCCGTCTGCTCTGGGGGGCACCATGGCCGGTGGGGTGAAGGGCTGCGGTTCGGGGAAAAGGCCCTCCACCACCCGGTTGAGGAGATCCAGCTCCAGTGAGTCCATGGGAGATGCGCCGTACATTTTGTTGCGCACAACTTTGTACGGCCTCCCCCATGGGTCCGCGTCCAGGGTGGCCAAGAACTCCTCTTTCGCAGAGTCCTTGGCCCGTCCTATTGCGACCTTCAGGGCCTGCCTCGCGCCCTGAAGGGCGCTGTGGAGCCTTCTCTCCTCACTTGGGGTGTGGCGCCTGCGGCGGCATCGGCCGTAGGCCCGCCGGGCCGTAGTACTGGCGGTGCGGAGGTCCCCAATCTCCGCGGTCCACCAGTACACACTCTTTTTGCCCGGGGTCCCTCTGACCCTGGGCATGGCCCGCTCGCAGACGGCGGTCAAGTCTTCCCTGAACTTGACCGCCCTCTGCTCCACGTCGACGGTGGCCGGTGGGGGGGGGGCACCACGCCTGGACCATCGCTGCTTCCTCTGCGAGCTCAAGGTCCAGGCGGGTGAGTGCCCATTTGGGAAAGCCCCCCCCGGGGGCCGTGTTGGAGGCCGTCGTGGGCGGCGTATGGGAGACCCTCATCCGTATATATTTATGATCGGAGAGGGTCTCCTCGTCCTCCAGGACCTGCCAGCCTGATA